TTTTTTGAAACAAGATTTCACTCCTGTCACCCAGGCTGGAATGCAGTGGTGGTCTCTCGGCTCACTACACCCTCCACCTCCCAGGCTTAAGCAATCCTCCTGCATCAGCCTCCCGAATAACTGGAACTACAGATGTGCACCACCATGCCCAGCTAATTTTTCTATTTTTAGTAGAGATGGGGTTTCACTATGTTGCCCAGGCTGGTCTCAAGCTGCCAGGTCTCCAGCTAATGGGTCTCCAGCTCCCGTCCTCAAGTGATTCACTTGCCTCAGCCTCCCAAAGTGCTGGAATTACAGGCATGAGCCACCATGCCCAGCAGTATTTGCTACATTTTGTTCATCCCTTCATCTGCTGATGGACTTTCAGGTTGTTTCCACCTTTTGGGTATTTTGAATAAAGCTGCTATAAACATTGGTGTACAATTTCTTGAGTCCCTGCTTTCAGTTCCTTGGAGTACATACTTAGGAATGGAATTGCTGGGTCATATGGTAATTCCATGTTTAACTTTTTGAGGAACATGTTGTTGCATTTTGAGTTGATCTTTGTATGCGATGTGAGGTGTACTATAATAATTTCCAAACATGTTTTCATTCAGGTTGAAGGCAAATGTTTGTCTGAGGAGAAACCCAGGGTCTCTGGTCCCTTGAAGTCACCTGCCAGCCTGAAAGCCCATACCTGCAAACAGGACTTGAGCAATACCACAGAACTAGCTACAATCAGTAGGGTAAATATTGACATCTTACCTGCAAAAGGGAAGGTCTCATTGAGCGATGGCTTTGTTCAGGAGAATCAGCCAACACACTTGGATGCCTCTAATGAGTTAGGAGGTAAATGCAGTATTTCTCAAGTGGAAGAGGAGATGCCTCAGAACAACACTAAATCCAGTGCTCAGCCTGAAAACCTGATTCCTGTGTGGTCCTCTGACATCATTGGGGAAAAGAATGAACCATTGAAGCCTCTGCAGCCCCTAATCAAAGAACAAAAGCCAAAGGACCGGGTGAGTAATATGCACACGTGAGGTATTGGTTTCAGAGAGAGGACTGAAAGTGCAGATGTAAATGTGTGAGTTCTGTTGTCATTTTAGAAAAGTCAATTATTCTGTGTATTAGTTTAAACATAGAAGAATATCTGCATCAACCCAAAAAGAAACCTAGTACCCTGTAACAGTCACTCACCATTTCCCCTTGCCCACAACCCCTGGCAACATTTGTCCCTATGGATTTGCCTATTCTGAGCATTTCATATAAATGGAATCATAGAATGTATGGCTTTGTGTGTTTGGCTTCTTTTACTTAACGTGATATTTTCAAGGTTTATCTATGATGTAGCAACATTTTATTCCTTTATTCCTGTTAATTTATTTTATATAAAATGTACTAACATTTTACTCCTTTTGTAAAAAAATTTAATTTTTACGCCGGGTGCAGTGGCTCACGCCTGTAATCCCAGCACTTTGGGAGGCTGAGGCGGACAGATCACCTGAGGTTGCAAGTTCGAGACCAGCCTGACCAACATGGAGAAATGCTGTCTCTACTAAAAATTCAAAAATTAGCTGAGCGTGGTAGCGCATTTCCTGTAATCCCAGCTCCTCAGGAGGCTGAGTCAGGAGAATCTCTTGAACCTGGGAGAAGGAGGTTGTGGTGAGCCGAGATCACACCATCTCACTCCAGCCTGGGCAATAAGAGCAAAACTCTGTCTCCAAAAAAAAAAAAAAATTAATTTTGAAAGTTATTTGAGATGGATTCTCACTCTGCTGCTCGGGCTAGATTGCAGTAAGTGATCCTCCTGCCTGTAGCTGGGACCACAAATATGCCCAGCTAATTTTTTTATTTCTATTTCTTGTAGAGAGATAGGGTCTTGCCATGGCCATGTTGCCCAGGCTGGTTTCTCAACCCCTGTGCTCAAGCAGTCCTCCCAACTTGGCCTCCCAACGTGCTGGAATTAAAGGCATGAGCCACTGCACTCTGCCTTATTCCTTATTGCCAAATAATATACTGTATTTGTATGTGTGTGTGTGTGTATGTGTGTGTGTATGTATGTGTGTGTGTGTGTGTGTGTGTGTGTTTGAGACGGAGTCTTCACTCTGTCACCCAGGCTGGAGTACAGTGGTGCAATCTTGGCTCACTGTAACCTTTGCCTCCTGAGTTCAAGTCATTCTCGTGCCTCAGCCTTCTGAGTAGCTGAGATAACAGGTGTGCACCACCACACCCAGCTAATTTTAGTATTTTTAGTAGAGATGGGGTTTCACCATGTCAGCCAGGCTGGTCTCAAACTCCTGATCTCAAGTGATTCACCCGCTTCAGCCTCCCAAAGTGCTGGGATTACAGTTGTGAACCAGCATGCCCAGCCTGTATATATTTTGTTCATATATTCATCAGTTGATGAACATTTGGGTTGTTTCCACTTTTTAGCTACTTTTGTTTTCTAAGAGGAAGGTTATATGTGGATAATGCTGCTATGAACACCTGTGTACAAGTTTTTGTGTGGACATATATTTTCAGTTCTGTTGAGTATGTGCCTAGGAGTAGAATTGCTGGGTCATATGGTAACTCTATGTATTAAACTTTTTGAGGAACTACAAAATTGTTTTCCAAAGCAGCTATATAATTTTACTTCTGCCAGCAATATATGAGGGTTTCAGTTTATCTGCATCCATGCCAACACTTGTTAACTGTTTATTGTTTTGAACATAATCATCCTTGTAGGTGTGAAGTGGTCGTGATTTGCATCTCCCTAATGACCAATGATGTTGAGCATCTTTTTTTTTTTTTTTTTTTTTTTTTTTAAAGAGTCTTGCCCTGTCACCCAAGCTGGAGTGCAGTAGCATGATCTCGCTTTACTGCAACCTCTGCCTCCTGAGTTCAAGCGATTCTCCTGCCTCAGCCTCCTGAGTAGCTAGGATTACAGGCATGTGCCACCAGGACCAGCTAATTTTTGTAGTTTTTTTAAGTAGAGATGGGGTTTAACCATGCTGGCCAGGCTGGAAACTTCTTACCTCAAGTGATCAGCCTGCCTCTGCCTCCTAAAGTACTGGAATTACAGGTGTGATTACCACTGCGCCCAGCCATCTTTTTATTACTTTTTGGCCATTGGTATACTTCCTTTGGAGAAATAATCTATTCTAATCCATGCCAATTTCAAAATTGGTTTATTTATCATTTTATTATTGAATTCTAACAGTTCTTTATTCTAGATACCAGTTCCTTATTAGATACAGCATTTGAAAATATTATCTCCTGGCCAGGAGCTCATGCCTGTAATCCCAGCTCTTTGGGAGGCTGAGGAGAGCAGATCACTTGAGGTCAGGAGTTCAAGACCAGCCTGGCCAACATAGTGAAACCCTGTTTCTACTAAAAATACAAAACTTAGCCAGGTGTGGTGGCACACACCTGTAATTCCAGCTACTCATGAGGCTGAGGCAGGAGAATCACTTGAACCAGAAGGCAGAGGTTTCTGAGGCACGATCTCTGCTCACTGCAGCCTCTGAATCCTAGGTTCAAGCAATTCTTCTGCCTCAGCCTCCCAAGTAGCTGAGACTACAGGTGTGCACCACCATACTCAACTAATTTTTGTATTTTTAGTAAAGGTGGGGGTTTACTATATTGTCCAGGCTGATCTCGAACTCCTGACCTCATGATTCACCTGCACTCAGTGCTCTTTTTACTGTGCTTTTTAGGGTATATCCAAATAACTAATATTTACCTTGGGAATAAATTTGTATTAAATTGGAATTCATTTAAAACATTTGTTCATTTTCAAAATGGAAAGCCTATGAAAAGTTATGAAGATATATATATATTTTTTAATAACTGGATCAAATATCAGTAGTTTCAGATTAGCCACAATTTAAGTTATTTAATTAAAACAACTATCAGCTGGGTGCGGTGGCTCAGGCCTATAATTCCAGCACTTTGGGAGGCTGAGGTGTGCGGATCACGAGGTCAAGAGATCGAGACCATCCTGGCCAACTCACTTGAAACCACGTCTCTACTAAAAATACAAAAATTAGCCGGGTGTGGTGGCATGCACCTGTGGTCCCAGCTACTCGGGAGGCTGAGACGGAAGAATCACTTGAACCTAGGAGGCTGAGGTCGCAGTGAGCCGAGATTGCGCCACTGCGCTCCAGCCTGGTGACAGAGCAAGACTCCCTCTCAAAAAAAAAAAAAATTACTTTTATTTGGAAGAAGAGAAAAAAGAACATTGGGATAACTGATGTTGACATTTTGTCTTTACTTGTCCACACTGCAAATAAACATTCATTTTAAGAAAGATAACTCCTCATTTTCTTTTTAATTAATTAATTTTTTTCTTTTTAATTTATTTTAAAAAATTTATTTTGAGACACTCTTGCTGTGTCACCCATGCTAGAGCACAGTGGCATGATCACAGCTCATGGTAGCCTCGACCTCTTGGGCTCATACGATCCTCTCACCTCAGCCTCCTGGGTAGCTGTGACTACTGCATATCACCACATCTGACCTTTTTTATGAAGATGGAGGTCTCACTATGTTGCTCAGGCTGGTCTTGAACTCCTGGCCTCAAGTGGTCCTCCTGACTTGGCCTCCCAGAGCATTGGGATTACAGGTGTGAACTGCCATACTCAGCTTCTTCTCATTTTCATTTACAATTTTAAAAGTAGGCATGGAGAGTTTGGCCATTTGGATGTTCAAAAGACTTTTCATTATTTTGTGTTTTTGTATGTGTTTGCTTCATTTTATTATTATTTTTTAACTGTTGCATTATGATTTAATCTCATTGCACAAAAATTTGAAATTGCAACTGGTTTTGTTTTCTAAGAGGAAGGTTATATATGCCTCTATATTTAATTCTGCATTGTTAAATTTGAACCATATTGTGAACTTTACATCATGATGGGTCATTTTAGAACTTCCACATAATACTTTAAATTGCGATATGGAAACAGTTTTTAAAACTGTGGAAAGTCTTCATGCTAAAGACAAAAGCCACTTTTTTTTTTTTTTTTTTTTTTGAAAAAGCCACTTTTTTTTTTTTTTTTTTTTTTTTTTTTTTTTGAGACGGAGTTTCACTCTTGTTGCCCAGGCTGAAGTGCAATGGTGCAATCTCAGCTCACTGCAACCTTCACCTCCCGGGTTCAAGCAATTCTTCTGCCTCAGCCTCCTGAGTAGCTGGGATTACAGGCATGCGCTGCCATGCCCATCTTATTTTGTATTTTTAATAGAGTCAGGGTTTCTCCCTGTTGGTCAGGCTGGTCTTCAACTCCCAACCTCAGGTGATCTGCCCCCACTTGGCCTTCCAAAGTGAAAGGGTTACAGGTGTGAGCCACCGTGCCTGGCCAAAAGCCACTTTTTATGGGCACCTTACTTTGGATTATAATGTACCAGGTTACTGCTATACTTTAAAATGTCATTTTGTTATTTTTAAGGATCAAGTTGCTGGTGAATGTATTATAGAAAAACAGGGCAGAATCCACCCAGATTTACAGCCACGCAGCTCTGGATCTGAACCTTCCCTGTCTCGACAGCGACGGCAAAAGAAGAGAGAACAGACTGAGCACAGAGGGGAAAAGAGACAGGTTGGCAGAGATCTCTATGCTGTATGTCATTTTGCTTTTGTTCAGGAGGTGGACTTCAGGAAGCTCAATTTCTGTTTAGAGCAGTTAACAATTGCCAAAAAGGCATGTAGGAAATGCAAGGAACATATAGAGAAGGGTGACAGTGGCAAGATGCTAAATGCTAGTTTTCAAATATTAGTGAGTTGGAAGCAGAGTAAGGATTTTATCTTCTCTAGCAAAGATGGACAGATCATTTTGAAAGTTAAAGGAATAGGCTAATGTGGGTAAACCTTTGACTCCATCTATATTGTACTGATGAACAGTTCTTTCTTCAGCTTCTCCACAGAATCATGTTGACATATCATTTCTTGAAGTAACTTCCACAGGTCTCCTCTCCATAAGCTTCTTAGATAATTTACTTTTGGCAGAATCTTTCCAAAAAATGCAGTGTTTTGAAGTTTTTAAGAACAAACCATTGACAAATACATAGAGAACCTGCTGATAGGGGAACATTGGAAGGGGCTATATATGAAACCTATAATCTTCTTTTTTAATTATTTTAGTTCCAAGAGTCGCCTCCTCAAATTTTGCCCTCTCATCCCATCGTTGGAAAAGCGAATATCACATCAACACAAAGAGATGCTGAAAACCAATGTAGAGTGATCACTGGGTCTGTGAGCAGTTCAAGGAGCAGCGAGATGTTATCATCAAAGGTTTGTGGGACTGTATGTTGGATTTTTAAAAACCTTATAGCCAGCTGGGTGCGGTGGCTCATGCCAGTAATCCCAGCACATTGGGAGGCCAACGTGGGTGGATCACGAGGTCAAGAGCTCCATACCATCTGGGCCAACATGGTGAAACCCCGTCTCTTCTAAAAATAATACAAAAACTAGCAGGGCTTGGTGGCATGTACCTGTCATCCCAGCTACTCAGGAGGCTGAGGCAGGAGAATCACTTCAACCCAGGAGGTAGAGGTTGCAGTGAGCTGAGATCAAGCCATTGCGCTCCAGCCTGGTGACAGAATGAGACTATGTCTCACAAAAACAAAACAAAACAAAAACAACTTATAGCACTTTGGGAGGCTGAAACAAGAGGATCAATTGAGCCCAGGAGTACAAGACTTGCATAGGCAGTATATAGTGAGACCTTGTCTCTACAAAAAATTTAAAAATTAGCCAAATGTGGTGGCACATGCCTATAGTCCCACTACTCATGAAGCCGAGGTGGGAGGATGGCTTGAACCCAACAGGGGAAGGTTGAGGCGAGCCGAGATCAGCCTAGGTGATAGAGTGAGAAAAAACAAAAACCCCCAAAACCTTCTTATAAAGCTTTTTGGTTATAAAATCCTGTGTATATTGTGCAGTTTTGTGTTAAAACACCTTACCTCTGCTTCTTGCCAAACACTGGAAGGGACAGATGTGATCTCAGCAGAATTTTATTTTATTTTTTCAATTTTTTTTGAGAGGGAGTCTCGCTCTTTCACTCAGGCTGGAGTGCGGTGGCATGATCTTGGCTCACTGCAACCTCCACCTCCTGGGTTTAAGCAATTCTCTTGCCTCAGCGTCCCAAGTAGCTGAAACTATAGGTGCCAGCCACCACACCCAGCTAATTTTTGTATTTTTAGTAGAGACAGGGTTTTGCCATGTTGGCCAGGCTTGTCTCAAACTCCTGACCTCAGGTGATCCACCTGCCTCAGCCTCCCAAAGTGCTAGGATTACAGGTGTGAGCCACCGCGCCCAGACTCAGCAGAATCGTTGATTGCAATGGACAGATTCTGTGGTTTCAGAGATGGCCGCTTCTGGTGAATTAAGGAAACCAAGTAGATTCTGAATTTGGTAAATGTGAAAGTCCTTATTTGCCCTTCCAAAAATGAGTACCTCCCAGAAACGAAGGCTGTGATCATTTCTCACTAGTAGCTATAACCCTGCTGTGGGCTGATTTCCAATGGATACTCCTCTAGGTCCAGTGTAAGACCTTTTTTTTTTTTTTTTTTGGT